CAGTTTGCATTTTCTTGTCAAATTATAACTGCTCGTGTGAGTATTTAATGACATATGATATATATATCTTCTCGTTTTGTCCAGCATAATGAATGTTTGAGAGGATAGCTGCCCTTTTGCAACCTTTAATATCTCTGGAGTAAGCTATATAAATTTAGACTAAACTATAGAAATACTGAAATCTAGTTCTCATTGAATAAAGCCTGATAGTTGCATAGTTCAATGGTAATTCTAAATGCAGTTAATTCAAAAATTATATATTTAGACTAAACTGTAGTATATTTTTTAACTACTGACTGGGTTGACTGATTTTGCACAAGATTAGATTCTCAGCTAAAATAAATCTGGGTGACTTCATTGGGTGTAGAAATGTGTCCTGTTGATGTAAGTAAGAAGTAAGATTATTTTTAAAGTCAGAGTTACGATAATTTGATTTAACTGCTACCATGATTTTTTGATATTTTGAATCCTAAATGCTTTGCTAATGAGGTATCACAAATACTTACAATTTTGGTGGCTAAGACCCCAGACTGTGGACTGCCTTTGTCATAATGGTCACTGCATGCTTTTCTCTGTAGCTGGGTCGTACACAGGCAGCATTTTATTTTTACCTGTGATTTCTTGAGTTTGTTTCTTTGGAGTTGAAGATCGCCTTGTGCCAGAAGTTTATTAATACTGATTCTTTCTTAAGGCACAAGTGCTTTCTTCAGGCAAAGAGTTCGGTAGGGAAGCAGTTATACACAGAGGTCAAAATGCACAAAGAATCATTTCTGAATGGATTTGCTTTTCCTTATCTGCTTCTTTGACTGGCTGTCTTAACATGTTCCTTGCAGGACGAACCAACTACTGGAATGGACCCTCAGGCCCGGCGCCTCCTGTGGGACTCTATTGTCAGTGTGCTCAGAGATGGACGAGCTGTGGTTCTAACCTCGCACAGGTAAAAAGAGTTGCAATTCAGGCAATTTACTGAATCCGAGAACAGCTGAAGTTGAGTTCTCTCTCAAATTTCTGTTTTCTCTTTTGCAAGTATGGAAGAATGTGAAGCTCTCTGTACTCGTTTAGCCATTATGGTAAAAGGAACCTTCAAATGCCTGGGCACAATTCAGCAGCTCAAATACAAGTAAGCAGTTTTTTTTTTTTTTTTTTTAATTCCAAGATAGTAGGGTTTTATGGAGACACTCAGCACATGTGACATACCCTTCTTAAAACAGCCATCCTATTTGAAGAACTAACCTAAGAGCTGTCATTTAAACAGACTCATTTCTACATGTAACTCCATGATATACTGGACAACTTGAGCAGATCTCATTTCCACTCTTCTATGCTACGCATCACTTTGCAGGGCAAATACAGACTCATTAAATTCATGCAGGGCTTAACCTTAAGCACCGTCTTTGAGATATTGTCAGTGTATTCAATGCTGCTGAAAATTAATTTTCTTCCCTGTGAATAATGAGACCATGTCTTCACCCAACCCCCAAACCCGCATTTGCTTCTAGATTTGGAGATGGCTATATTGTCACTTTGAAAATCAAAGCTCCAAAGTCTGAGA